CCCGTTCCCGTTCCCGTTCCCGTTCCCGTTCCCGCCCCAATCCAACCATGCCCCTCGCTTCACGCTCCGCCTGGCCAACTCACGTCCACACACGTGTGTCGCAGTGTCGTGGTGTCATATTGTCCAGTTTCACCGAGCCATCCGCCTCCAGCGTGAACACGACACGCAGTCAATGCCTTCGCACAAAACGCCTCACTTCCACGCCACCTTATCGATCGGCTGACCGACTGATCGGCTGGCATGGCGTAATCGGGCCGCTGCAAAGTAGACACGCTCTCACGACTTATCGCACGACAAAACTTCCCACCTGTTGCACTTATCAGCTCGCCCCAATGCTCCGCCAGCCACGCTCAAACTCATCCACATACACACACAATACTGCACAATCAGATAAGCCGGCTGCCGCACGCCAGGCTGCAGCAACAGGGCAAGTCGGCGTCGCCTCGTTTGTCGACAGTCGAGCGGCTCGTCAGCGCGCTACTGCGCCGGCGCTGAAAGGGAGCACGTGCTGGGCGCTGATCTGGCGCGAGTGTGTGTCTGCCCCAACCGGGCCCGATCGATGTCGGCCTACGTTGCGTCTCGTCCCTTTTTGGCACCCGACGGACCGTCTCGCGTGTCACTTGAGCACTTGCAATCGGATGCATCAAGTCGAGCCGGCCCCTTATCGATCGGCGAGGCGGCCTTTCAGACAGGTCGCGTTCGCCGAGTCAGCCGGGCTCGCCAGTCGCAGGCCCTCGTGCTGCAAAAGGCCGCAGGCAGTGACGCCACGTCTCGCTGTCGCGGCGCCCACCCCATCCGTGACCCGCCAGGCCCCCGCCCACGCTCGGTCTGACAAACAGACAGGCCTTGGTTCGGGCACGACGCCATTCGGCTTAAGCAAGGCGGAAAGCGTCTCGCATCGATCGGCCTCGATGTCGCAACAGTTTGGCGCCAAACTGCACGCAAGGCTGCTCATTTTGCGACCATCCATCGACTCGTTCATCCACTCTGCCGGCCACTCGCCATTCTGTCAATTCGAGCACAGCGCCTCGACGCCATTCCACCTCGTCTCGGCCACCCCAACCGGTCGTCAAGGCCATCTGCTCGAGTGGCGCCGAACCGAGTTGCGGCGAGTGGAGGCCATCGTCGTGGCACTCGACGCCACGACTTCCGTTCCGCGTTCGCTGTCGCTTGGGCGACGGGATGAAGAGCAAAAGAGCGGGTCAACGTCCAATCGGCCAGACGCCCGGTTGCTAAGGCTGCGTAAGCAGCGCCACAGTCTCGCGAGTAGCCGTCGCTTCGGGCGCCTGCGTCGAGTCGCGAAACTGGCGACGAATTCGATCGATCGATGTGTGTGTGTGTCGACGTCTGTCCGCGAACTGGTCACAACTCAGAGCCATAGTCCGTCTGTGCTCGAGCGACCAGGCAAATGTGGTTGATGCGCAGAAAAATTGCGTTTCGAGCAATCTCTTCTTTCATAATTGTCGAGCTGACCTTCCATTTCGAGTGAAAGTGTGTCGCGTGAAGAGATTGCAAGGTCGGTCGGTTCGACCAGAAGACGACGGCGCCAACTGCCTACTCGTCAGACTACTCATTCGCTAATTCATCGACCGCAATTATTTCTTTGGCTGCTTACAAAACCGGTCAATTGACAAATCTGTGCAAAGAAAAGTTGGCTTTT